CGCCAAACTTGAAGTACAGGTCAACTCCTTCTCTCGCCGTGTGATAGAAGATTGGGACTAGCTACCTAATTCAATTGCTCTGATGACCATGTGTTTACTTGAAAAGAGCTGAAAAACGTACCCGTATATTTAAGTCAACATATGTACGCCTTCACAGTCTATGTCTATAAATAGAGTTTTCAAAGGCTTTACCTATCTCCCTTACATATACCTAATTGTAAGGAATAATTAGTTTATGATGATAGTAGACTTTCGCAGCATCTGCACACTCTCCTCCCTCCCTGCATGTACTCGGTATCTAGACAGAATTAAGAAAACCGGAGGCGGAAGAGGATGCAGGCGACTGACACAGCGACAACCCGAACCTTAGAGCGTGCCAGCACATCGGATTGGATACCACTAAGTGGGAGTGCCATAAAGGCCACATTAAGAAGCAGTCATCGAAGATTTAATCTAAGTCCACCAGTCGATCACTTCACACAAGGACACACTGTGTTGACTGCAAGGTTCGAGTTATTCCGTCAGTTGGCGGCCTTACATGCCCCGACTTTAAGCGCAGTGATATATTCAAGCGCGCCAGACTGTTAAAAAGGAGGAATATGCGTTGAGACCGGCGACCTCACAATCCCCTCCCACTCTCAGACATCAGTCACTGTCAGAACTGGTAAGTTGTATGATGCGGAGAGTGGGCGCAGTGTCCAGCAGGTATAGAGATCCTGCCAATCAAAGTGTACACACCCCAATTGCACAAAAAGGAGCAGGCGGCTGGGATCTCAAATGTGTGAAATTGGCATTAAGAAGGAGCCATCGCAGTCTGACTCTCGGTCTATCAGTTGGTAAGTCAACGCGCGAACGCATATTTAGCTGTCTGAATGGTAGGAGTTAAATTGTTGCAGTCCTTTGCTACAGTTTTATTTATGCGTCACTTCTATAGCGACCCCATTTATAAGTCACTTCCTAAACTCGCATTTATTCAATTTTGTAACTTTTTCGGGGTTCACCCCAATTGATGTGAATTTCAACATCGTTAACTGACTTTTCACAAATTGCTTTTGTTCTTCACTAGGTAGCTAAAGCCGTTCTAGCGTGACAGTTTTACTTGTACTATTTAAACTTGTTCTTGACATGGAATCGCACTATATGCCACTCTGCCTCGTAAGCGTAATGATCGCGCAGAAGGACTCACACTACTGGTCAGATGTGGTTATGTAGCCCCACCTGAAGTGAACAAATCCCAGACGCCTGTAATACGAGACTGGTAGTAATAAGGGTATTTACAGATGGAGCCGGGGAATTCATAGGCGACGAGGTCAAGTGGTTGCATGCAAAAGAAAAGCTATTGGAAATGCGCGGTTGTATATTGGGTGGTTGAGAAATAGTTGCCGTAACCCCTAACCCTAACTTCAAACCCGAACACCTAACTCTACCCCCTAGCCATAACCGCCAACCCTAGCCCCTAACCCTAACCCCCCAACTATAACCCCTAACTCTAACCCCAACCACAACAGTATTGTGATCATCGGGTTGGGCAACATAACCACATCTCACCGCACTGTTTTTTACAAGCGTGTTCACTGGCCCACAATAGTCAGCCAATTATTGTGATCCCCGTATTGCTTCTTTCTCTGTTTGCACTTCCACTCAGTTCCTGAGATTACAACAGATATGACGAAGTTCTCTAAGGCTATCGATATGTCCCTTGTCAAGGAACCCTTGTTTCTCGGCGCCTTCCTTATATATTGTTGGCAGCAATTCACCAGGGTCGACTAAAGACAATCAACTTCTATAGCTTCGGTAGGTTTTAGATCCACAGTCTGACTAAAGAGACTCTCAAATTGGATTTGCAGCTCTTATTGTTTCGGCATCCATTGCAGCCAACATAAGAAGTGCTGTTTAAACTGCATGTCGAGGGAAGTAGATAGATATAAAAGGGGCAACGGCACTATGAAGGATCCCTAATTACCCTGGGGAAGCAGGTGGACCGCGTTATAAGGGAATTTTCTGGATGGGATTTCACAGGTGGGGCAACACGCCGAAGGGGGAGCAGGCAAAATGCGGAAACGACCGAAAAATGATTATATTTTCTTAGAAGTCTTATCTTATGCTCTTACTTGGCAAGGGAAATGAGCGAGATTATAAAAACAATACAAAAAATGAAATTTTCAAAATCAGAAATCTGAAGAAACTGCCGCTGGGAAGTTTACATTCAGTTAGGAAATCAAGAATAGATAACGATAGGGTATTGGATCCCATATGGCTGTCGCATACAAAACGGTCTACAGGTCATTTGAAGTTTCTTGAGTTCCTACACTTTACTTTTGCTCCAAGATCTAAGCATGCATTCGTAGATCACACATACGCATTTGTTTGGCGGCGATCGATTTGTTGCTGCTGACGGATATGTATACCAGTGTGCCCGAAGAGGATACGTGATTAGCTTACTACTTTGTCAATACTTAAGGCCCCCAAAAAATAAATGCACAATTTGGCAGACGATAGTTCAAGTGATTTCCGTTATCCTTTAAATTAATTTACATATATTGTTGCAGCGAACCGGATGACAGAAGGACAGAACTCCGCTATCTTCAGCGCCCTTTCATGGACAAAGCATACCCCCGTAACCTCATCGAGCACAGCAGGCAGTCTAAACCAGATCAAAATCGGGTGACAGAACATCCAAAAGTCTGGCGGGCGCTGCCATACATCGACAGCGTCTCTCAGGCAGTTTCCCGCCTCCTAAGACCCTTGGGGATCGGGATCGCTCACCGACCAGACTCGACCATTCGACATTTGGTTATGCGACCGAAGGCTCCCCTGCCACGAGGTGAGACGACAAATGTCATCTATCGGGTCAAGTGTAACTCTTGTGAAGCTAACTACGTCGGAGGGACGGGCAAACGGTTACAGACCTGCGTTAACGAACACATGCGGGCAGTGAAGAGAACGGACCCATTGTCTCTGATGGCGGAACACTGCGCGGACTCTGGACACACTTTCGCTTTCCAGAATGCCAAAATTCTGTGTCGAGACAATGACCGCGTAGCCAGGAAAACAATCAAGGCCTGGCACACGGCGACAACCTCAATAAACCGTTGTGTCGCCCTTCCGACAGCCTACCAAGCCCTCCGAACGCAGCTCAACGAAATAAAGAGCAAGCGCGAAGTCAGGCCGGACGTAAATCCAAACACGGGAAAACCTACGACGGACCTACACACAGCCACAGGGCAAATCGGGTCCGACGAAGGCGCAGTCATCAATACTGTTGCCTCAACTACTACTCCGGCAGACGGGGAGAAACGCGATCAGAGGGATGCAATCAAGACTAGCAACCAAGTACGACAACTAAGGTCAACGCGAATGCGGGCGATGGCCACAAACGTTCAAATGCCGTCCCCCGACGAGAGACAGGCAGATTGACAGCAGTCACCCTCCCTCCCTCTCTGCCCCGGCGACTACAGAGACGATCCCTGTGCTTATGCGAGTCATTAGCGCCAAAGCCGATTAACCACTTCCCCCGTATAATTACGACCGTGTTAACATGGCTGTTATCTATTTTCCCTCCTATAAATTCTGTGTGATACCGTACGATACTCACCTCCGACGATGAAAGCTTGTCTGCTTTTCAAACGTAAGGACAATACAATCATGGTTCCCGAGAGCGCCTCTTCTTCTCCGATATATATATCTCAAAGTCGAATATGTGCTTTGGGGAAGGGAGTTTATTTTTCAAATTCCTTTACCGTAAAGACACTTATGCGGAAATCATTCTACCTTACGAGAGCAATCAGCCAATCTCTCACAAACGGGGTGCTGCCAACAGTCTGCTTAATCGAGCAAAAACACATTGTTCTGATGAAGAAGGCTATCAAGATGAACTAAACTTCTTGTGTGGATTGCTTTCGCGGAATAGGTACCCTAGAGAATTTGTGTACCGAAGCACGAAACAGAAAGAGTCGAAGAGAAAGGAGCCATGTAGTACAAACCAGACATCCGAACCAAAAACCTGGCGAACACTTCCTTGCATTTAAAATATGTTCGAACTTGTTAAAAGACACCTAAGGAGGCACCAAATTCAGGTGGTACACCGACCGACGACTACATTGCACACTAAGCTCGTGCATCCAAAAGATAGGGTTGACTATCTGGACAAAAAAGAAGTCGTTTACAAAATTCCCTGTGGTACATGCGATGACGTCTATTGCGGCCCGACTGGAGAATGCGCCTCTACACGCATTCACGAACACCAGTTGGCACTGGAGAGGCGAGACCACCTGTCTCAAGTCGCCATGCACACCCTGGACACCGGACATACCTTCGCTTGGGACAAGACTCGTATTGTCGCTGTGTGCCTTTCAAAGAAAGGCCGAGAGTTCATTGAGGCCATGCATAAACCGGCACATCGAGTTGGATGCAGCGTACAGAAATCTCAAGGAGAGATGGAAGAAGCGAAGGCCAGTCAGAACGGACTGACACACGACGCGGCCTATTGGCATGAACATCAAGTAATTATCGATTTTTTGAGTGCACTTAAGATGTTAACTCTGTCGGCGGATCTGCTCTCCGTCTGTGTCTGACGACGACCCGGGGAACCGGCGTCGAAAATTTGTACAATGAACTTCCTCTCCCAAAGCACCTATTCGACTTCGACTTATATTTATTGGGATGCCTACCTTCTCACACATATATATATCAGAAGAAAAGGCGATCTCGGGAACCATAGTTTTACTGTCCTGACGTTTCAAAGGCATACAAGCTTCCATCGTCGGAGGTGAGTGCAGTATCGCGCCTCACAGTATTTATAGGTGGATGACAGTCATGTCAAGACGGTTTTTTGTCTTACATACGATGTCAGGGCGGCTGGGAGGAAGGGGCGGGGAGGGAGTCCTAGAGCGTCTTCTCGCCGGATGGGGAGGCGGGGCGGTGGATCAGCTTTAGTGATCACCAGCGCCTACACACAGGGACTGTGGCGGACGGGGCGGAGGGAGGGTGACGGAAAGTACTCAATCTACAGCGGGGGTCGGCGTTGAGACGTTGGTGGTCGTCGTCCGTACCTTCATTGACCTTAACTGCCGTCCAAGGCTGGCAATCTTGTTTACGCCGCAACGAATGTCCGTTTTCTCGTCCGCCGGACTAGTAGATGGAACGGCTGTGATGACGACTGCGCCTTCGTCGGAACCAGGTTGAGGGGTGACTGAGTGTGCATCTGCCATGGACTCGCTCATGTCTGGATTCATGTTTAGCCTGGGTTCACGTCTGCTCACTTGTTTACTGAGCTGCGCTCGAAGGGCTTGGTAGGCAGCGGGAAGAGCCACACAACGGTTGGTGGAGGTTGTCCCCGTGTGCCAAGCCTCGATTGTTTCCCTGGCTATGTGGTCGCTTCCTCGGTCCAGAATTTTGACATGCTGAAAGACGAACGTGTGTCCGGAATCGGCGCCGTGTTCGGCCACCAGAGACAAAGGGTCCATTCGCCTTACTGCCCTCATGTGTTCTCCAACACGGGTCCGTAGTCGTTTGCCCGTCTCTCCCATGTAGTTGGCTTCGCACGAGTTACACTGGGTCCGGTAGATGACGTTCGTGGTTTCAACTGGTGGCAGAGGGGCCTTAGGTCTCATGACCAGATGTCGAATTGTTGACTCCGGTCGGTGGGCGATGCCGATCCCCAGCGGTCTTAAGAGATGGGAGACCGCCTCAGAAACGCCATCGATGTATAGAAGCGCCCGCCATATTTTTGGCCGTTCTGTTTCCAAACGTCGGCTCGGTCCGGCCTGTCTGCCGCGTTCGATGAATTTGCGAAGGATACCCGTTGGACATGAAGAGGCGCTGGAGGTAGCGTAGTTCTGACCTTCTGTCGTCCGGCTCGCTGCAAAGTGTTTCTGCCCTTCTGTAGAGTGTTCGCACACAACTGCGTTTGTGGCACAACGGGTGCTTACTGTGGAAGCTCAGGATTTGGCGTGTATTAGTGGCCTTCCTATATACCGTCGTTTTTAAGTGCCCATTTGGTTTTCGATGGACGAGAACGTCCAGGAACGGCAGTTGGTTGTTGGCTTCCGCCTCCATTGTGAACTGGATGTCAGGGAAAACAGAGTTCAGGACATCATGGAATTCCTTGACCATTTGCCGCTTAATGATAAAGAAGGTATCATCGACATATCGAGTCCAAAACGTCGGCTTATAGGCTGCGAAAAGTAGGGTCTCTACTTTTGGAGAACTGCCTCTGCGATGAAGCCCGAGAGCGACGACCCCATTGGCGTCCCCTTGGCCTGCTCGTAGGTCTTACCTTCGAAGGTACACCAATGAAAGCGCTGAGTCATGAGGCTTGCTTCAACACCACAGACGCCGATCCAGTCAGTCTCGTGGCCACGGTAGAGTCGATTCTCAAACAAACCGGGGAATCCGACGAAACAAAGCAAATCATTCGACAGCAGGTAACCTCCTTGGCGATGGCACACAAACCACGTGCAACTATTACCAAGGCCGAGCAGAGTGCTCTCAAGACACTGAGGGCTGACACCAGCATCGTGATTCTACCAGCAGACAAAGGGCGCTCCACAGTTGTGATGGATAAAGCAGACTACATTCAGAAAGCCAATGCCCTACTGGAGGACCGACTGGCGTACCTACCATGTAATGATGAACCGATGGCGAAGCTGGTGACGCAACTGGACAAGACCCTTGTCGACATGCAAACTAGCAAGGCAATAAATAAATCGGTACGACTGGCCACTAAGCCGGTAGACGCGGCCGCACCACCCTTTTACGGACAGCCAAAGGTGCACAAAGCTGGGGTGCCCCTCCGGCCAATCGTATCATTGCGCGGCGCACCTACATTCAATTTGGCTAAATGGATGTTCCGAAACCTGAGGTCTCTCACCTCAAACGCGGGCACGACGGTGTGTTAAGCGACTCAGTTCCTGTAGCAGATCAAAGGGATGAGACTTACCGAAGACGAGGTCATGGTGTCATTCGACGTCATTTCTCTTTTCACTTCGATTCCGCTGCTCGAGAGTCAGTACGACGAGACGGGCGTGACGATAAAACGGAGACATCTCGTCCAATTGCTGAGATTATCCCTCATATATACTGAATTATACTAAATTCAACTGGGCAACGGGCTCGTGGCCCAGTGATCAGAGGCGTGGACTTCTAACAAACAGGTCGCGAGTTGGAGCCTCGGGTGTGCCACACTTCGAGGTTGGGTATGACTGGCTGACGACGACTAATAAGCCAGAAATGACCATTCCAGTCTCCCTTGCCTTTGTCGGTAACATCATTTTGCCTATATCTGCATATATATATAATGATAGGGGGCGCTCACCGATCGTTCTTAAGGAACTCACTCGTTCCGTTTTGTCTTATGGACTCTCTCTCTCTAGCCCAACCAGCAGCCGCACAGCGGCGCATGATACATAAGCAGAATGATATTACCGACAAAGACGAGGGAGACAGAAATGACCATTTCTGTCCTTTTAGCCGTCGTCAGCCAGTCATACCCAACTCCAAAGTGTGGCACACCCGAGGCTCGAACTCGCGACCCGTTTGTTAGAAGTCAACGCCTCTAACCACTGAGCTACAAGCCCATTGCTCTGTCGGTTTTCGATCGGGAAACCGACAGAAATTTGGAGTCCGCGGGGCTTATGAGCTTTTTCGAATGAGCTCGTTCACCTTCTTTATAGGTGCGGCCTGCTTTTTCGTCGGATCCTCAGCAATTGGGGTATAGGCCTCTCTGTCATTAAAGGCTTGAGTGGCCTTATTGACATAGTCAGTCTCGTCCATAATGACAGTAGCATCACCTTTGTCAGCCGATACAACAACGATACTGTCCTCTGACCTCAGGGGTCGTAATTCCTTCTCCTCTTCTATCGGCAAGGTTTGCTTATGTCTTTTTTTCCGGAGGAGACCGGTCGCATAGTTGCGTATGTCCGCACGCATATCTTCAGGGATGGATGAGGTTAGCAGGAGGGATTCCAGGTTCGCTATTGGCATTCCAGGTCCAATTGGCATTCCAACACAGCACGTTTTAGACATGCTTGGGCTCAGCCTTAAGAACTATTATCAATTCGATGGCAAATATTACCAGCAGGTCAAGAGCACCCCAATGGGTTCACCGATATCGGGCCTACTCGCCAAACTAGTGTTACAAAGACTAGAAGAAGTTGTTATTCAAGCCATCAGACCAAAGATGTGGCTCCGCTACGTAGATGATACCTTCGTAGTCATAAAAAACTGTGAAGTTGAACGACTGCACCAGAGTCTTAACGGTGTCTTCCCCGCCATACAATTCACTCGCGAAGAAGCGACAGGGGACACCCTCCCTTTTCTTGACATCAGTGTACAAAGACTGAGTGATGGCAATCTCGTAACCAGCGTCCACAGAAAAGACTCCAGTGCCGAAATCATCCTCAACTACGGGAGCAACCATCCTGCGGCCCACTAAAGAAGCTGCGTCCGAACTCTTTTTCACCGTGCCTTTCGGTACTGTAGCAGCCAGTATCTACTCAAGAGAGAACTAGTCTACCTATACCAGTTTTTCCGATCTAACGGATATCCGATTAGCTTTGTGAAAAACTGTCTCAGACGTCAGAGGCAGCCACAAGATCAGAGTTCAAGTGGAGAAGAGGTACAGAGGAAATATTATTACCTGCCCTACATGTGAGGAATTTTCGAAGCGATTGCCCGACAACTAAACCAGTTTTGCATCTGCATTACTCACAAACCGGAGTCCTCCTTACGCGCAGCACTATCCCGGGCAAAGGATCCCAGATCCAAAGAACAAAAAAGCAACGTCATTTACCGTATCCCGTGCGCTAACTGCCGTTGCGTTTATATTGGTCACACAGGTCGACAACTTGGGACTCGCATTAACGAACACAAGTTAGCTATCCGCCGACGCGACCCCTTATCCCTCGTGTTTGCACACGCTCTTGATTGTGACCACCGTTTCAATTGGGACGGTACTGAAGTGGTCGCCATGGCTAACACCAGACATGCACGAGAATTCCTCGAAGCTTGGGACTCCGATGCAGATAGCATTACGAGGGTCTCCGATTACGGTGGACTGACTGGCGCCTACCGTAAGAACAGCAACAGCTAATGCGTGCCTGGACATGCATGGTGCCGCCGACACTCCATCCCTCCCTCCCTGCCCTACTCCCCTCCCCCCCCCCCAACACGGTGAACCACAGCTGGGACCCACAACACCTACCCTCACCTCCTGCATCCATCACAACACGATGCACACCTCCCCCTCGCAAGGTCTTCTGCTAACCTCTCTGTCTGCGTCCTCAACCAGCAGTGTGACAATCCCACCTCTCACTATTGACGTGAAATGGGAAACGACATCAAAGGAGGCCATCATCTTATCGGCGGAAAATTTTATCCCTTGCAATTTCTGTGGGAATTCTGTCGAGTTTTCTATCGAAGTTTTACAGTTGTTCGTGAACGAATGAAGCTTCTGGAATAACCACTTGGAAATTTTGTAGTTAGGCGCATCGATTAGAGATACAATCGGTCTGAGTGAGACTTCGGTTTTGAGAACTTTAGGCAATCCATAGATCTTCGCTATGGTTGGCTCAGTTTGTTTGAGCGATTTAGCAATGTCTTCTGAGAGTTGTTTCTTCCCTGTGAGACGCTTCAACACTTTGTCGATGAATGAAGCTTGCGCTTTGGTGGGGTCCGTAGGGAGTGGTCAGTAAGTAGATCTGTCTTCTACTAATGACAGCATTTTCTCTTTGTAGTCTCTCTTGTTCAAAATGGCAGCCGAGCCTCCTTTGTCGGCGGGAAGAATGGTAATATTTTGGTCCGTCTTAAGGCCTTTAATCGCCTTTTTCTCTTCAAGTGATAGTACTGTAAACTGGTTCCAGTCTCGTAAGTCTTGTACAGTACTATTTCGAATGGTAGACCGTTCGCCCTCAGTGAAGGTTGCTGTTGAAATGATGGATTCAAAGGTTGCAAGTAAGTCCAGATAGTTCGAGTAGGAAAGATTGTACTTCATTCCCTTGGAGAGCACAGTCTCTTCCGTTGTCCTGAGGACTCTTGGAGGACAGATTTACGACTTTCTTTGAAAACTGCAGTTCTGTATCCGTTTTTTTTCTGAAATGGTCATCCATTTTCTGTCTAAATTACTCCTCTTCTTTCGTCTTTCGAGTTCATAAGCATGTGAAATCGTGTCTTTCAGAGATTGAAATGAAAAATGCCAATTTTCTAAGGAGCGGCACGGGCAGTTTTGTCGAGACCATCTTCCTTTGCATTTAAGCACACCCGTTTACCGGAAACTTACGCTGAAGTCATTCTACTTTATAAGAGTAACCAGCCCATTTCTCACAAAGGGAGTGCTGAAAACAGTCTTCTTTGTCGAGCAAAAACACATTGTTCTGATGAAGAAGGCTATCAAGCCGAACTGAACTACTTGTGCGAATTATTTCCGCATAGATACCCTAAGGATTTTGTACGCAGATGTATGAGGCAGCGAGAATCAAGGGAGAAGGAGCCGGGTAGTTCCAATCAGATGCCTGAACTAAGCACTTGGCGAACTCTTACTTACATTAAGAATGTGTCTGAACTCATCGAAAGACACTTAATGAAGCACCAAATTCGGGTGGCGCATAAACCTACGACTACATTGCACTCTCAACTGGTACATCCTATGGATAGGGTTAATCAGCTGGACAAGAAAGAGGTTGTCTAGAAGATCCCGTATGATGCATGTACTGCCGTCTATTGTGGCCAGACTGGAAAATCCGCCTCAACACGCATTCATGAACATCAATTGGCAGTAAAGAGGCGAGACCATCTGTCTCAGGCAGCCATGCATACTCTGGACACGGGGCACACTTTCGCTTGGGACAAAGCTCGCATTGTCGCTGTCTGCCCTTTTAAGAAAGGTCGAGAATTCGTCGAAGAAATGCACTCTGATGAATCATGCATCAACCGGCAAATCGAATTGGATGCAGTGCACATAAACTTGAAGGAAAAATGGAAGAGAAAGGAGCCCACCAGCTCAGAATGACACACGGCGGCCGCCTACCGGTGCACATGCCATGCCAGTATCGATTTTATGTGAACTCGTGACTTTAGCTGTTTCTTGCTTTTACATTTGCTCTCCCTTTGCGTCTGACGACCACCTGGGGAACGAGCGTCGAATATTTACGCAATAAACCCTCTTCTCCCAAAGAACCCATCTTTTTTGGACTTAAATCGCTTGGGATGCCTGACTTTCAATACTTACGCATATATCTATATCGAGCAAAAACACATTGCTCTGAGAATGAAGAGTACAAAGGAGAACTCAATTATCTGTTCAACCTTTTTTCACAAAATGGCTACCCTAGAGATTTTGTACGCCGATGCATGAAACGGCAGGAATCAAACGAAAAAGAGAAGGAACTAGATTGCTCCGATCAGACGTCAAAACCAAAACATTGGCGAAGCACCAAATACAAGTGGCTCGCAAACCGACTACAACGCTACGCAATCAGCTTGTACACCCTAAGGATGGGGTTGGCTATTTGGATAAAAAAGAAGTAGTCTATAAGATTCCATGTGGCACTTGTAATTCAGCGTATTGTGGTCAAACTGGAAAATCTGCCTCTACACGCCTACATGAACACCAATTGGCAGTGAAGAGGCAGGACCACTTATCCCAATTCGCCATGCATACCCTTGAAACTGGGCACAAATTCGCTTGGGATAAAACACGCATTGTCGGTTCCTGTCCACATAAGGAAGGCCGAGAATTCCTAGAGGTCATTCACTCTGATGATTCATGCATCAATCGACGCATTGATCTTGACGCCATGTACACAAATCTCAAGGAAAAATGAGAAAGTTAATAGCCAATCAAGACGTGCCATCAGCCCACAGCATCAACCCATCCTCAACCATGACAGAGCAATATCGATTTTTTGGGCATTTTTGAACTTTGACTGTTTCTTCACACTTACTACACGTCTGAAGACGAGCTGGGAAACCAGACTCGAAAATTTACAAAATAAAGTTTTTTTTCATCTTCCCAAAGGATTCATTCTTCTTCGAAATATATTTTTATATACATATATTAAGAGAGAGGATGATATTACCGACAAAGGTAAACTGAAATGCTTTGGTCAGTTTTGCGAATGTTACACTAATGCCTATTAGCCGATGCGTTAGAAGACCTAGCCATATGCACCTGTGTGACTGAGAAAGATAGCAAGACAAACCAGCTGATGAACAAAACTGATATTCAAGAAACCAACGACCTGATGTGTAAGCACATGTGTACACGCCTGCTTCGCCTGTTTCCATCGGCGTTGTTCGTGGTGGCCTTGAAACAAACGATTCAGTTTAAGGAAATTTGTCCGCTTGTTAAGGTTTCTTTCACCTGGTGCCTCGGCTGACGTTGGTAAGGAGTTGCAGATTGTTAAAATTATGATGACTTGACAAGCGCAAAGGTTCACACATCACAACTCAGGTTAGACAGAGTTATCGGGCTATCTGAACTGTCGCGAAGGAGCGTACAGTCAGCCCAGCAGAGAGCTGCAGCCAACCATTTCTTGGGGCGTTTGCGTGTGTCCGACTCTGAAAGTCTTACCACGCAGCGTATATGTACACCTATGCGCTCTCTGAGCTGTGCTTACCTGCAGCCAGTCAGCGCGGGGGCAGGGTTGATTGGTTAGTGCCGCCTCTCGCGTGACCGCAGCCGCCAACTTACCGCAAGCGTGAGTAACTGATCGCGGGAGCGGACTGCCACAGTTCCTCTCACAGCTGACCCCACGCCAGAGCTGCAATAATGGACGACCCACTACAATGTGAAGTCAAGGGATCTATGCCACACGACTGACCTGGCGAAGGCAGAACGCACATACTTCCGAAGACGTAATAATCGGAGTGATCATCTGTGCTTGATACTAGATTGCATTATAGACGACGTTGCGATTACTATGTCGGCTGACAATAAGGCACAAGTATTGTGAGGAGTGCGTCCCCAGAGGACTGGCATTAGTCGAATAAAACTACTGTCCGGAATTCATGAAATCATGGAAACCTCT